TCAACACCTTCCCGTACAACAATCCGACCCCTCAGCGCTGCTCTCCCTCCCAATGGAGCTTAACAATGTGGACATGCTGAAAGACAAAAGAAAGGAAAATGGGAGGGAATGGGGGGCACAGAGAGCCCCTGGCAGGGAGGAGGGAGAATGGGGGGCACACAGAGCCCCTGGCAGATGGGAGGAGGAATGTGGGGCACACAGAGCCCTTGGCAGGAGGAGGGGGAATGGGGGGCACACAAAGCCCCTGGCAGGGGGAGGGGGAATGGGGGCACACAGAACCCCTGGCAGGGGGGAGGGGGAATGGGGAGCACACAGAGCCCCTGGCAAGGGGGAGGGGGAATGGGGGCACACAGAACCCCTGGCAGGGGGGAGGGAGAATGGGGGCACACAGAGCCCCTGGCATAGGAGAGGGGGAATGAGGGGGGCTCTGTGTGCGGGTGGGCTGACTCTTTAGCTCAAGCAGAGCAGCTTGTGCTGTCAGCGCTGGAGGCACCGGTTCGATCCCCGGGACTGGGGTGAAGGCCTGGGGCCCCTCTCGCATAGACCCAGCTGGAGAGATGAGCTTTAAGGGCTTTGCAGACAGCTTGGCCGCTCCTGCAAAGACCTCCCCCCCCCCCCGGGCCGGACTCCCCCCACCCTGAAGTCGGGGTCTGGTTCTCCAGTCTCAGGGTGTGCCCGTCTCCTGCTGGTCAGGCCCTGCTCTGGAGCAAAGGCCGGTAGCTGCTGCAGGGCCGGCATGAGCCAGCCCCAAGGCCTCGGGCAGGGGGAGGAGGGGAAATGCCCTGTCCCCCTGCCCCCCTCTGGGGTCCCCCAGAAAAGAGGGGGAGCAGTGTGGACATGCTGCTGGTGTGCACCTGGGGTGCTTGCCTCACCCCGGTATCTCCAGGGGGACGATGGCTCAACCCCCCCTCCAGTCCCTCGCAGCTTGGTCCACTCCCTGCTCAATGGGGGCTTCTTTCGACCACCCCCTTCCCTCAGAGTAAAGGGGTGTGTGGCAATGCGGCGCTGCCCCCTGCTGGGCACAGCGGGATGATCGGTCTCCCAGTTAATGCCGTAGTCATAGGAGTAGGACTGGGTCCCTTGAGGACCTGAACAGCCACGGGAGGGGGGAGGCCACAGAGAGGGAAACTGAGGCACGAGACAGGGAAGTGGCTTATCCTAAAGTCATCCAGCGAGTTAGTGGCTTAGGGGTCCACGGCTCTGTGCCTTGGTCCTACTGCCCTCTGCGAGCTGGAGAGAGAACCCAGGAGTCCTGACTCCCAGCCCCACCCTGCTCTCATCACTAGATCCCAAAATCGTCTTTAATGGGGCCAAGATTTCACCCTCTGTGTCACTTTCCCAATGCAACTCCACTAGGCCACGCACAGAGCTGACGCTGCGAACTGGGGGGCGGCGGATTCCTGGGGGTTCCGGGTGCAACCCAGAGAGTTTGGTAGCTGCAGCGATCTGTGACTTAGCACCTGCCCGGCTCAGCATCCGGTGCTGCCGCTGACTTGGGAGATACAGGCTCCATCCTTTCCCCGTCATGAGCCTCATAGCCCCCCTGGCTGTGACTGACCCATGGGGGGGTTATTCCCAACTGCAAGAGGGCTGGGAGCCAGGACTCCTGGGTTCTATCCCCTGCTCTGGGAGGGGAGTTTGGCTCTCGTGTCCACATGCAATGACGAGAGGGGAACAGGGTTAGACCCCGGCTCCATCCCTGTCCCCACTGCAGGGCCGCGCCATGCACCATGTGTGCACACGTCATGGGAACATGGTTACAACATGTGTCGGTCTCCTCTGCGTTGCATGATTCAACCATGTTGGGGATGACACACACACTTGTCATGGTGCTCTGGTTTTTGGGTTCCCGTGTGTTAGCTTGGGGGACACAGCCCTGACACCTCTCTGTCTCGTGGGTAGGACGACGTTGAAGTGCATGGGGACCGTGTCAGGGGCCACGTGCCCACACATACTTCCGGGGATGTGGTTAGCCTTGGCTGTGCGGATCACATTTTAAAGGGGGATTTTGCTTGACCCAGCTCCCCCGACCCAGAAAGGATTCCACTGTAGCCAGGAACTTCTTGGGTCAATCTGGTCTCAATTGACACTGGTGTAACTCCAGAGTGATCCCCACTAGAGTCACTCCAGATTTACGCCTGGGTCACCGCAAGCAGGATCAGGCTCCAGCTCCACTGATGTTAATAGGATCAGAGTGTATTTCCCAATCGGGTCAGAACTGGTTCTGAATTGCACTGGAGCCAGTCTGGATTGACACCAGGAAACAGATCAGGATTCAGCCCTAAACCTACTGCAGTGAGGCCATGACTCCCTCCTCTTTGCGGAAGTCACTCCAGATTTAACTCAATGTAACGGATCAGAATCTGGTTCTGACTGTTTGGGGCCCCGATCTTGGCTGGTCCCATGATACTGCTAGAATAAACATGATTAATAATAATAACGAAGGGTTGTCTACCCAGGGAGCTAATCCAGAACCACTCTGTGTGTACAATCTTGTTCCTGCCTTGTTCTGGTTTAGCATAATTGACTTTGGCTACATCTACACTACAGGGGGGAGTCGATTTAAGATACGCAAATTCAGCTACGTGAATAGCGTAGCTGAATTCGACGTATCGCAGCCGACTTACCCCGCTGTGAGGACGGCGGCAAAATCAACCTCTGCGGCTTCCCGTCAACGGCGCTTACTCCCACCTCCGCTGGTGGAGTAAGAGCGTCGATTCGGGGATCGATTGTCGCATCCCGACGGGACGCGATAAATCGATCCCCGAGAGGTCGATTTCTACCCGCCGATTCAGGCGGGTAGTGTAGACCCAGCCTTTGGAAGTGGATTCAGATAAACCAGAAAAGGGCACCCCTAATCTGGAATAAGAGCATCCACATATGGAGTTATTCAGGAATAGCTATTCCCCTTTAAATTCACACCCTACCTTAATCCGAATTAACTTTTAAGTGTAGACAAACCCTAACTGCAGCCAGGGGAGGACTCCAGATTGGGAGAGCTGAGATCAGAGTCTGGCCTGACCCTGTTGCAATCAGGGGGTAATTCCGGATTGACCCCCGGGGTGAGCTGAGATCAGAATCTGACCCTGTTAAACCCCATTGCAGTCAGGGGGTAACTCCAGATTGAGTTCTCCCAGTTTCCCAGGGGAGCTGAGATCATAATCTGGCCCTGCTCCCATTGTAGTTGGGGGTGACTCTGGATTAACCAGGGGTGGGGAGGGGGCCGAGATCAGAATCTGGCCCTGCCCCCATTGCAGTTGGGGGGTGACTCCGGATTGACTCCAGGAGAGCTGAGAGCAGGATCTGGCCCTGCCCCCATTGCAGTCGGGGGTCACTCCGGATTGGCTCGGGGCCGATTCGTGGCCCGCAGCTCCCGGCGGCGGCCGCGGAGGGGCTCTCGTGGCCAGCCATCTGCCAGCCGCGGGGGGGAGCGGGTGGCCCCGGAGTGACACCCCCGCCGCCCAATCCCCTCGCGCAGCAGCACAAAGGCCCTGCGAGTGTGCAAGGGCTGCACGGCGGGGAGGGGGCCCCGAGCTGGGGGGGGGAGCCAATGGCACGGCTGGGGGAGGGGCGGCGGAGGGGGTGTAGCTTGCAGGGGAGTGGGTTTCGCTGGAGTTGGTGGGGGAGGACGGAGCAGTGCAAAGGGACGCGCCGCGGAGCCATGGAGAGCAGCAGCCTCCAGTGTGCAAGGTACCGGGGGGCGGCGCGGGGGGGGCACCCGCTGCCCAGGCACGCCGGGGTTAACCCATGAGACGCCTGAGGCGGGGCGATCTGGGGGCCCGGGGCCTAGTGGGGGGTGCACAGGCTGCAGCCGGCTCGATGCAGCCCCTGCCCCCCCCCCAGCCCGGGGGTCTTGGGAACTGCCGAGTCAGCAAGATCCCAAGCAGGGGCTATTTAG